TCCATGGTCTGCGGCTCTGACAGTTCCTGAAGTTACAACCCTGACAGCCAATCACCTCTGGAAACATCGCTAGCCTGAAATTCCAAGATCAAATCTTACCAGAAGGATTTCCCAGGCTGGGACTGAGAGAGCCAAAAAGCCCAACGAGAAGGCTGGTGCATCTCAGGATGTCTGGCGTTTAAGCCATTCTGGGGTCTAGCTGGGATTTGGTTTTCTCCTTCACTCCCTGTTCCTCACCATTTTCTCAGTCAGTTAATGGGCCCCAGCTGGGAGTGGACACAGGCGGCAGGAACAGGGGCCAGGGTCTGGCGGGCTCCAGCCGGCCAGCCCTGGCCAGAAGGGGAATGTGACTGTTTATTTGGAATGGCTGTGCCCCGCCTCTGAGGGAGTTCAAGCGGTCAGACGTGTCCAAGTCGATTAGTGAAATCTGACAGGGATGTCACTGGGTTTGGGAAGAGAGCCATCAGGTTGAAAGCCCCCACCCTGCCATGTCCCCAGCACCCGATATGCACTGGCCCCCAATTATGGTTAGTGAAGGACGGAGGTGAGAGGAGGTCAGGAGGTCTGAACCTCAGGAGCTTCTGAAATGTGCTTCTGTGCTCTGTGGCCCAGGACAGGCCTCAGCAGGGCACTCTGGCTCAACTACAGAGCTGCTCCAGAAGTTGGAGGGTCCCGCCCCAAAAGGAGAGGAAACACCACCAGCCCTGGGATCCTCTTAGGGATCCAGGGGCAGCAGGCACGGTGGACAGAGCCTGGTCTCTGGAGCTGGATGAGTGACTCCACTATCTAGGTGCTTAATACCCCTGAGCCCAGGTTTTCTTGCTTGTCGAATGGGAATTACAGGAAAGGCAGGAACGAGCAGAGCTGGCCGTCAGTATGGAACTGTTCTGACTCTACCCACGAACCAGTAAAGCCTCTGAATGCCAATGTGCACTCAGCTCATGTCACCCCGAGGGCAACTCCAAAGGGCGAGCTGGAGCTGCTGGAGCTCAGAGAAAGCCAAAGCTCCTGGCAGTTAAGAGACCTTCTCAAGATCATAAAGATTATACAGGTTTTTCTGACTTCAGTGCTTTCCACCCCAAATCTGCATTACTGTCCTAGGTCTGCCATAACAAAGCACCACAAACTCGGTGGCTTAAACCAATGGAAATTTACTCTCTCACAGCTCTGGTGGCTAGAAGTCCAAAATCAGTGTGTCACGGGGGAGGTTCCCTCTGGAGTCCCTTCCGTCCCTCTCTCCTGGCCTCTGGTGGCTGAGGGCAACCACAGGTGTGCCTTGGCGTGGGCCTCCCTAACTCCAGTCTCAGCCTCCGGCTTCGTATGCGCTTCTCTCTGTGAATCACTAGACACTCAGCAAGGGGTAAAGACCCCACCCTAATCAGGAGGATCTCGTTTGAGAGCCTTACCTTAATTACATCTGCAAAGACTTATTCCAAGATCATACTCTGAAGTTCTGCATGGACACATCTTTTGTGGGCCATTTAACCCATTACAGTCTACCCGCTAGCCCCCAAAACATCATATCCATCCCCTGTGCAAAATACCTTCACCCTTTCCCAATATCCCCATATTCTCACCCCATTACAGCATTAACTCTGAGTCCAAAAATCTCAACTAAATATCATCAGCTAAAAAAACTCATCATCTACACTTCTTGATTGAGCATTGGTACTAGTGGTATGATCCTACCTGGGACAAAATGCCTCTCCATCTGTGGACCTGTGAAACTAGAAAACAAGTTACCTGCTTTCAAAATACAGGGATCAGGAGAACATGGAAGGAACACAGAGGTCACTGGTCCCAAGTGAATCTGAAACCTGGCAGAGCAAGTTCCCCTAGGTTTCCAGGCCTGGGAATGACCCTCTGTGCCTTGATTCTCACCCTGGGGCCCACAGAGCTCCCACGGGTCCCTGTCTCTGGGCTCACCCTCTGCCACCACACCCACAGCTCTGCCCTTGGACTCTTTGACTCTTAGGATAACATGTGTTTGTAGCTGATAGTTCTGTCAGTCCCCTTCCTCCATGTAGGATCCCACAAGTCCAACTGCTTTTTTCTTCCTACTTTGTGGGTCTCTGTCCCTTTTGGCTCAGGCTGACAGTGTTCTTGCTGATGCAACATTCTCAAAATCCTCGTGGGTTGCTTAGGTATGATGTCAAGGGGATCTAGGCTGTTAAACAAACAGGAAGATTGTCCACAGACCCTTCCTGGACAAGCCCATCTCCACTCCTGGCTCCTGCTGAGATGTTTCTCTGGATCCATAGGTCCCGCGCCTGAGCTCTTCAGCAAAGGCTGTCTGGCCTCACCCTTGGCCTTTCTCCAGGGCATGCTTTCTCACAGTGAGTCTCCCACCTTTAGCATCCTTTGGAAACTGAACAGGCGGAGAATCCCCCACATCATCAAGTGCTGGTTCCTTTTTGTGAACAGCTCCTTCTTCAATTCATGCCTTTCCTCTCACATTTTAATATAAACAGCAAAGGAGAAACCAGGCAGCACTTTCCATGCTTTGCTTGGAAAACTCAGCCAAATATCCAAGTTCATTGCCTACAAGTTCTGCCTCCCCTGACTAGTAAATCAGAGACTCATACAGCAACAGATACTAAGGGGTTGAAAAGGAGGCTGGTGGAAAACAAGCGCACAAAAGCCAGAGGAGAATTAGATTTATATTTGCCAAGTACCTTCCATGTGCTCAAGTACTAGAGATCAGTACCTGGGATCCTGATGGGCAAGTTTCATCTTTATAAGAACAAAAAGGGTAGCCAGAGACCTCAGAACATGTCCCCACCCAAAACATCCCTGACTTTGAATGTGGCTGACTCTCTCTGCCTCCATTCCCCACCCCCACCCCATACCCTTAGCCCTGGCATTGCAGCCACTGATCCTGTCATTGAACACCTTTCTCTCCCTGAGCCTCAGGTCTCCCAACTCAAGCTCTGTCTCCCACAGAGCCCTCTTCTGACACCTCCTTCCTACTCCCAGCTGATTGTCCAGGCTGCACACATGTCCTCTCCCACAGCAGAAGGATACAGGATCAGGGTAGCCCCTAGGGGTCTGCCTCAAGGAGCACAAGGAATGAAAAGAAATTTAGTATTTGATTCATTCTCTGCTCCCACAAGAATTAACACACAGTCACTATTATAATCTTAATTTTGTTCAATATAAGCTCAGCTTATTCTCTTAATTTTGTGCTTTATTCTTTAAGATTTGCACTCTTAGTTCCTGGCACAGCATGGATTTAAGTGGTGTTCATCCAGGACTAATGGACTTCAGAGAAGAATCTACAACAGCCAGTAGAGGAGGGAATTACATCTCAGACAGAGGCCCATATTGGGAAGGTCCTAGGGCTCAGAAGGGCAGGGCCTTGTCTTCCAACTCCAGTTGCTCCCCAGGGTGCCTTGGAACCTGGCCAGCCTGGGGCCTATAACAGCAGCTTCTCTTTTAATTGGTCTGCCCTGGTCAGGAGACTCTTGCCTAATACCTCCCAGCCCTGCAGGAGGAAGCAACAGATATATCACCGTAAAATGAGTGGAGGGGGAGACCTGAGATTTCCCATCCCTGAAGCTCCCCTTTCCTATATTCTCCCAGGCTGCCCTAGAATGAGTTACGGGTACTCCCTTGCCCTCCCCTTGCTCAGGGTACACATTATCACCATGCTCCCCACTCCACCCCCCAGCCTAATGGTGAATTTTATGTGTCAACTCAGCTGGGCCACTGTGTTCAGATATTTAGTCAAGCATTATTCTGGATGTTTCTGTGCAGATGTTTTTGGATGAGATTAACATTTAAATGAACAGACTCTGAGTAAAGCAGATGACCCTCAATAGTGTGGGTGGGCCCCATCTAATCAGCAGAAGGTTGAAATAGGGAAAGACTGACCTCCCTGGATAGAAAGGAAATTCTTCTAGCTGATAGTCTTCAGGCTCGAATTACAACTCTTCCCTAGGGCTCCACCTTGCCAGCCTGCTCTGGATTTTGGACTTGTGAGGCATCATAATCATGTGAGCCAATTCCTTAAAATACATTTCTCTCTGTATACATACATATACATATCTTCCTGGTTTTGTTCCTCTAGAGGACCCTTACTAAGACACTGAGTGAGCCAGACACCCTTAGAATCTATTTCAACACAGCCCTCCAGGCCGACCTCCCAGTTAGCATGCAAGCTGAGTATCTCCAGGAAGTGGTGCTGTCCCTAGTCAGTACCCAGGGCCAAGTACATGCCTCCACTTACATGCACGCCAGGCACCAGGCACCAGAATTCCTGTTAGGGTCTTCTTGGTTCTCACTAGTCCTTGTTCTCCACCTATATTCCTCCAGCGAAGGGGAAGGGTGGTCAGCAAGGCCTATAAGCTTGTCCCTCCAATAAACTAAAACCATTAAGAAAAGCTCACTGAAGAAGGGAAATATCAAGCCACTAAACACCTTTTAAAAGAGAGCCAGGCCAGAAGTTACCAGAACATGGGGGCGGTGGGGAGACACCCAGCTGTCCCTCCTTCTCACTGTCTCCCCAGGGAGAACATGGCATCTGCCAGGGGTCACTGTGGGTGTTAAACTCATCTGGATGTGTCATGACTGAGCAACACACAATTCTAACTGTGTTTAGTTTTAAATTTTTTTGGTTAAGCAAGATACCTAGAAATAAGTCCATGTGTACTTGCCACCCTGACAGAGGGCGTATGTAGAATGGGAGGCTCATACCCAGCACCCTCACCTCTTGGCCATGTGATCCTGAGTCCACTTTGGAGTCTTAACTTCTTTGTCTATAAAGAATACCTAGTTGGGAGGCCCACAATGATACATCATAGGCCACCAATACATGGTGTGGTTCTGAGAATTAGGGAGTGTGATAGTTCCAGAATCCAGCCAAGAAAGAAGGTGGAGCAGAGCAGAGCCAGCTGGACAGTTGCAGAGAGCAGGCCCAGCAGACTCAGCAGCTGGAGAGGGACTGTCCCCCTCTGCTGCTGCTAGAGAGAAGCCAAAAGGAAGGACAAAGTAAGACTGACCTTGAGGGCAGGAATCTCCACACTGTCACCAAGGCTGATGGAGCCTGAGAGGATGGTCCCTGTCATCACAGTGCCTTGGCCTTTGATGGAGAAACAGTGGTCCACAGACATGAGAAACGGTCCCGAGGGGTCTCTTGCTGGGATGAAAATCTGGGACGTCAGGAGCTAGAAAAGAGATACTAATGCCACACCCTGTCGAGGAGAGCAGCCAGAGTGGGCCAGGCAGGGGAGGGCGGGGTGGGACAGGGCCCAGGCCCCAGGGATCAGAAATGGACAACCCCGACTGCTCTCCGAACTTCAGCTATGCTCCCGGCAACTCCTCTCCATGCAGATGCAAAGGGCCCCTGCAGAGCCTCCTCTGTCTTCTCCTGTGGGGATCCCTTGACAGGCAGGGCCTCCAGGCCCCCATCCACACTGCAGCAGAGGCAGCTGCTAAAGGACACCTTCAGTCATATTGTTCCCTGGCCTCACACACCTTCCCCCCTCCAGATGCTGCAGGCTTTAAGGTTTGTACACGTTTAGCCCCTCAGCACTTCATCTCCCTCCACCACGCCTCCCAGGCACCAGTACTGGCAGGCCCTGGAAGTTCACAGCTCCTCAGCCTCCCCTGCCTGGGGACACTGCCTCTGTGACGCTTTCCCACCCCTTGTGTGTGGCCAGGTTCCCCACCCCCACATCCCCACAGCTACCCCACTATTGTGATCATCTGTCTCTGTCATGGGGCTGTGACTACTTCTGGATCTCCAGTGGCTGGCATCGTGCCTAAGAGAAGGACAAGTGGTGGAAGGACACTGAAGGCTGCAGGAGAGCAGAGCCCCCCAGGGCAGCTGTCTCAGTCTGGTAGGGCAGGAGGGGGAAGCCCAAACCCCTGACAAACAGAGGGGCCACCTAACTGCCCCTCCATTTGTGCTTCTGCTTCCCCGTCTCTGCTGACTCTTCCCATCAGCTTCAACCTCAACCAGAGGGGCCTATAACAGCAGCTTCTCTTTTAATTGGTCTGCCCTGGTCAGGAGACTCTTGCCTAATACCTCCCAGCCCTGCAGGAGGAAGCAACAGATATATCACCGTAAAATGAGTGGAGGGGGAGACCTGAGATTTCCCATCCCTGAAGCTCCCCTTTCCTATATTCTCCCAGGCTGCCCTAGAATGAGGTACGGGTACTCCCTTGCCCTCCCCTTGCTCAGGGTACACATTATCACCATGCTCCCCACTCCACCCCCCAGCCTAATGGTGAATTTTATGTGTCAACTCAGCTGGGCCACTGTGTTCAGATATTTAGTCAAGCATTATTCTGGATGTTTCTGTGCAGATGTTTTTGGATGAGATTAACATTTAAATGAACAGACTCTGAGTAAAGCAGATGACCCTCAATAGTGTGGGTGGGCCCCATCTAATCAGCAGAAGGTTGAAATAGGGAAAGACTGACCTCCCTGGATAGAAAGGAAATTCTTCTAGCTGATAGTCTTCAGGCTCGAATTACAACTCTTCCCTAGGGCTCCACCTTGCCAGCCTGCTCTGGATTTTGGACTTGCGAGGCATCATAATCATGTGAGCCAATTCCTTAAAATACATTTCTCTCTGTATACATACATATACATATCTTCCTGGTTTTGTTCCTCTACAGGACCCTTACTAAGACACTGAGTGAGCCAGACACCCTTAGAATCTATTTCAACACAGCCCTCCAGGCCGACCTCCCAGTTAGCATGCAAGCTGAGTATCTCCAGGAAGTGGTGCTGTCCCTAGTCAGTACCCAGGGCCAAGTACATGCCTCCACTTACATGCACGCCAGGCACCAGGCACCAGAATTCCTGTTAGGGTCTTCCTGGTTCTCACTAGTCCTTGTTCTCCACCTGTATTCCCCCAGCGAAGGGGAAGGGTGGTCAGCAAGGCCTATAAGCTTGTCCCTCCAATAAACTAAAACCATTAAGAAAAGCTCACTGAAGAAGGGAAATATCAAGCCACTAAACACCTTTTAAAAGAGAGCCAGGCCAGAAGTTACCAGAACATGGGGGCGGTGGGGAGACACCCAGCTGTCCCTCCTTCTCACTGTCTCCCCAGGGAGAACATGGCATCTGCCAGGGGTCACTGTGGGTGTTAAACTCATCTGGATGTGTCATGACTGAGCAACACACAATTCTAACTGTGTTTAGTTTTAAATTTTTTTGGTTAAGCAAGATACCTAGAAATAAGTCCATGTGTACTTGCCACCCTGACAGAGGGCGTATGTAGAATGGGAGGCTCATACCCAGCACCCTCACCTCTTGGCCATGTGATCCTGAGTCCACTTTGGAGTCTTAACTTCTTTGTCTATAAAGAATACCTAGTTGGGAGGCCCACAATGATACATCATAGGCCACCAATACATGGTGTGGTTCTGAGAATTAGGGAGTGTGATAGTTCCAGAATCCAGCCAAGAAAGAAGGTGGAGCAGAGCAGAGCCAGCTGGACAGTTGCAGAGAGCAGGCCCAGCAGACTCAGCAGCTGGAGAGGGACTGTCCCCCTCTGCTGCTGCTAGAGAGAAGCCAAAAGGAAGGACAAAGTAAGACTGACCTTGAGGGCAGGAATCTCCACACTGTCACCAAGGCTGATGGAGCCTGAGAGGATGGTCCCTGTCATCACAGTGCCTTGGCCTTTGATGGAGAAACAGTGGTCCACAGACATGAGGAACGGTCCCGAGGGGTCTCTTGCTGGGATGAAAATCTGGGACGTCAGGAGCTAGAAAAGAGATACTAATGCCACACCCTGTCGAGGAGAGCAGCCAGAGTGGGCCAGGCAGGGGAGGGCGGGGTGGGACAGGGCCCAGGCCCCAGGGATCAGAAATGGACAACCCCGACTGCTCTCCGAACTTCAGCTATGCTCCCGGCAACTCCTCTCCATGCAGATGCAAAGGGCCCCTGCAGAGCCTCCTCTGTCTTCTCCTGTGGGGATCCCTTGACAGGCCGGGCCTCCAGGCCCCCATCCACACTGCAGCAGAGGCAGCTGCTAAAGGACACCTTCAGTCATATTGTTCCCTGGCCTCACACACCTTCCCCCCTCCAGATGCTGCAGGCTTTAAGGTTTGTACACGTTTAGCCCCTCAGCACTTCATCTCCCTCCACCACGCCTCCCAGGCACCAGTACTGGCAGGCCCTGGAAGTTCACAGCTCCTCAGCCTCCCCTGCCTGGGGACACTGCCTCTGTGACGCTTTCCCACCCCTTGTGTGTGGCCAGGTTCCCCACCCCCACATCCCCACAGCTACCCCACTATTGTGATCATCTGTCTCTGTCATGGGGCTGTGACTACTTCTGGATCTCCAGTGGCTGGCATCGTGCCTAAGAGAAGGACAAGTGGTGGAAGGACACTGAAGGCTGCAGGAGAGCAGAGCCCCCCAGGGCAGCTGTCTCAGTCTGGTAGGGCAGGAGGGGGAAGCCCAAACCCCTGACAAACAGAGGGGCCACCTAACTGCCCCTCCATTTGTGCTTCTGCTTCCCCGTCTCTGCTGACTCTTCCCATCAGCTTCAACCTCAACCAGTCCATTTTCCACATGCCAGCTATGTGCTCGGAGATGCTGTCAGAGCTGATTACCAATAAACAAATGGACATAAAGGCTGCACTCTTCCCTTTATTTTGCTACTTTCTGATTTCATTACAGAACAGGCTGTCAAAAAAGTATTCGGTAGTGAATGTTCCAAACTCTTATTCTTGTGATAACAATTCTTTTGGAAAAAGACTAAAGATTCAAAACAGGCTTGGCCTGAGAATTATGCAGAGGCTTCTTAAAGGAATATGCAAACATCTTTCACAGCAGCATTTCTGTGGATTTTGCTTTAACATAAACAACTGTCCCAGGCTCCCAGACCAGTGTGCTCTCTGGTACTGATGAAAAAGTAACCAGTCTCACCCAGAAAATGCTTGTTTGCTAAGTCAGAAAGATCAGCTCTATGTAATCACAGAAATGGAGACAGTGCACATGGCCACACCTGATCACAGTTCTGCAGACACAGTGCAGGCAGACCCCAAGGCTACCCCACCAACCGACCTGGGTCTGAATCAGAAACGGACTCAATGCGTACTTGCCATGAGACCTTGGGCAAATTACTTACCCTCTCTGAATCTCAGATACATCCTTGGTAAAGTGAGGATAAGTAACTTAAGCCTCCCAGGGTCATTGTGAATGCTAGTGATCTTGTCCATGAAGAACTTAGCACAGTGCCTAGTGTGTGATAATCGACTTCACCATCATCACTAATCTGTCATGGGATACAGCACCCTTCGCAGCCCATTGTCTGCATTAACTCATTTGACCCTCACACCGACTCCCAAGGTAGGTGGTGCTATGATGTACCCTTCTTTGTAAGTGAGGGGATTGGGGCAAGAGGGAGCAGGTCACGTGCCTAAGGGCCCAGTGTTGGAACTCACTGTCCTGTCTGAGTGGGGGCACCTCGCCACTGCACCCCTCAAAGCTGCCCCCAGTGTTCTGCAGAGGGACACTGAGGTCCCCATTCTCACTACCATCCTCCCAGCAGCATCTCTGCCACCCTGCCCCGTCGGGGGCTGGGCTCCCCACCTCTGTCCGCTGGGACCCAGAGGAACAGCCTGGGCTCAGAGGACAAAGCGTCCCTGGCAGAGGCCACAAGGACTTAGGCTGCACCACCCCACCACCCCTGCTGCTTGGCCTGTACCCTCCAACTTCCTCGCCCACCCCCGCCTGGCACAGGGGGCACACGCTGGAGGGGCTGCTTTTTCTGAGTGTAGGTGTTTGACAAGCGACAGGAAAAAGACTGAGGAGGGTGCAGACAGCTCTGCAGAGCCTTGGGCTAGAGGGTGGAGGCCTTGGCTCCTGTTTTGCTTTAACTTTCTGAGGGCGGTGAAGGGTGCACTCAGGGTGTCCAGTGGTAGGGGTGGCTTAGGAGCGACTCTGAGGCCTCTTGCTGGGTGGGGCTGCCTCACAGTCACTCCCTCTTGCTCTCTCCCTCTTGCTCTCATTCTCTCTCTCAGACAAAGCAGAATACAAAGGCACCTGCCTGAGTGGGGCTGGGGTTAGAGGCCACCTGGGTTCAGGCTGACAGTACCTCAATGAGCTCTGAGATGCCCTGTGGAGCTTCTGTTTCAGGGGCCTCTGGTCCCCCAGGCTTGGCCGCCACAGGTATAATCGGTGCACCTCGGAACCTGGAAGGGAAATACAAGCCCCCCATGATTACAGAGCCCATCAGCACGGACTCAGAGTGTCTGTGGTACAACCGGCAGGGCACGGAGAATGACAGGCACCCCTTTTACGGCACCTGGGAAGACAATGCCGTCTTCCTCCCACTCCCATTGGGCACATGAGGAAATGGCAACCCCAAAGGGAAACGTCTTGTGGTGAACAACAGGACATAAAAGGGGCATCTGGGTTTTCACCTACACTTTCAGAACCCACCCTAAGGAGGCAGCAGTGAACCCTGGGCCCCCAAACCCTGCATTTAAACAAACAAACAAACAAAAAACTCCTTGAAGAAGACCCTATATACATCCCAGCATCCTGCAGACCCAGCAAACACTGGTGACCAAGAAGTCCCTGCAGATACACCTGGAAGCACACCCACCATCTCGGTGATCAAGGGAGGGATTCCCCACTGAGCCCTCCTGGAAAGCCCCGGCCTCTTTACAAAGAGATTCTTACTATGAGTATATTTATCTCTTCTAGTGACAAAAAAAAAATGGAAAAGAGAAAATACACATCCCATGATCCCACTGTTATTGTGTGCTTTCATCCAGCCTTGGTTTCTCTATGCACTGCCAAGGGATGATTCTTCTCATACTTTGGCTATAGTATATATATAATGTCAGAGCCTCTATTTTATTTATTATCATCACATAAAGGATTTTCTGTTGGATGACAGCAACAACAATAATAATAATTCATGTGGCTGAGCCAAGCATATAACCTGGATGCTTTCATGAAACCTCACAGCATCAGTATGAAATGCCACTGTTTTATAGATGAAATACTGAGGCTTAGAGAGGTTAATTAATTATTCCAAGTCACTGGCTACATCTCAGAGCCAAATCCCAACCCAGCCCCATCTGACTCTAGAACCAAGGATTGTAACTTCCCACATCCCCAGGCCTCCTCTTTCATTTGTAACAGCTGCATTACAGTGTGATCCAGAATTTCCATGCTTTTCCTCCATAATATTACCCATTTAGAACATTTCAAATTTTTCACTCTTATAAAAAAGAGTGTGATAAACATGTCGGTGGACATGACTGGCCTTTGTTTTCTTTTGACCTTGCTTTGGTATAAATTCATAGGGTATAAGTCTAAGACTCAACATACACTGAAAAATCAGCAAAATGGTGGAGTAAGGACATTTAAAAAGACTCTCCTCCATAAAAGCAATGAGAACATTTGCAAAAATTTATCAAAATCAACTTTTTCAGAACTCTAGAAGTGAACCAAAGGCTTACGGCAATCCGTGGAATGTTTATTCCAGTAAAATGGCTGAAGCTTGGTAAGCACAAGAAGCCTTTGGGGCATTTTAACTTGCCTTATTGCCATCTACCATTCTCAACTCTGTGGTAGCCCTAATAACAGCATCTACAGAGTGGAAAACAGCAGCCTTAGAGCCACTGAAGGGGGAAGAATGGGTGTGAGTTCTATCAAGGCTCCTTTCCCAGAGAACTGTCATTATTTTCCCTTTCTGGCAGTTTACTGGAAAGCCCCACTTACAAGGCTGTCTTTTTATGACTTGCTTTGGAGCTCAGACATTTGATGAAAATAATTGGAGGTAATTGTTTAACATCATGCTTGCCTGAGGCAGAAGACAATAGTTTGGGCAAAGAACAGGCTAATCAAAAAACTTAGAGGGAGAAGCTGGGGGGTTTCCATGGAAAGTTTGGAAAAGCTCTGACATATTCCTGGGATTCTAGAAGGTTACATGTAGGCACAGGGCTGTGGTCATAACCAATGCACTGTGCATGGTCAAGAAAGACACGTGAGGGCTCTAAGCTCTCACCTCTGGCTGACTTTGAGGTTCTATGTAGGCAGGAAGTGAAAACTAAGGCACAACTGTCAACTGCCTGCCTGAGCATTAAAGCATGTGCCAACGTGCACATAGAGACCCCTGGTAAAGATTGGGAGACTTACTGGTTCCAGGCATTGAAGGAAATCTCTGTCTAATCATTAGTTGACCATTAAGCTAAAAGAGCAGAGACTTCAGTGGTCACACATGACGTTACAGAATTAGTTCACAAAAGTCACTAAGCAAATAATGAAAGCAAACTATGGAAGTGTGGGGGAAGAGAATCTGATTTCTAGAATTGCCATATTATATTATTCTAAATGTCCAGTTTGCAACAAAAAATTACAATATATGCAAAGAAATAAGAGTATGGTCCCATACATACGAAAAAAGGAGTTAATAGAAACCGTTCCTAAGGAAGCCCTATTACCAGACAAAAACTTTACATCAGCTATTTTAAGTATGTTTGAAGAATTAGAGGAAACAATGTCTAAAGAACTAAAGGAAAGAATGAGAATAATGTCTCACCAAATAGAAAATATCAAAAAGAGTTGGAAATTTAAAAAGAAAAACCAAACAGAAATTCTAGAGTTGAAAAATACAGTAACTGAAATAAAAAAATCCATTAGAGGGGCTCAGTAGCAGATTTGAGCAGGCAGAAGAATCAACAAACTTGAAGATAGGTCAACTGAGATTATCCAATCTGAAGAAAACAAAGAAAAAATAAAGAAGAAAACTGAATAAAGCCTCAAAGATATTTAAGACATCATCAAACATATCAACACATGCATAATGAGAATTCTAGAAAGGAAGGAGAGACAGAGGCAGACAAAATTTCTGAATAAATGTCAAAAACTTCCCAAATGTGTGTATCTATTCAATTTAAAAAAATTTTTAACTTCTCAATTTTGATGAAAAATATTAACCTGCACATCTAAAAAGCTCAACAAACTCCAAGTAGGAAACACTCAAAGAGATCCATGTCTAGATATATCATAAGCAAACTGTCAAAAGCCAAAGACAGAATTTTGAAAGAATCAAGTGACTCATTCATGTATAAGATCAAAAGTAAGATTAACAGCTGATTTCTCATCAGAAACCATGGCACCAAAAGGTAATGGGATGAAATATTCAAAGTGCTGAAAGAAAAAAAATTAAGTCAGTCAAGAATTCTATATCCAACTTCAAAAATGTAGGAAACAATGGTTCTAACATGACCCAGAATGACCATATGGGTCATTTAAGGCTCCATATGACCCAGAAATTTCCTAAGTGTATACCCAAAAGAACAGAAAACAGACACTCAAATACACACAGATGTATGTTCATAGCAGCACAAATCACAAAAGCCAAAGGTAGAAATAGTCCAAATGTCCCTCAATGCTTAGTGAAAAAAATGAAGAAGCCAGACAGAAAAGACCACATATTACATGATTCCATTTATATTAAACAACCAGAATAGGCAAATCCACTGAGACAGAACACAGATGGGTGGTCCCCAGGGATGGGGAAATAGGAAACAATTGCTTAAAGGATACAGGATTTCTGAAAGTAGATAATTGTGATGGTTGCATAACTTTGTGTACATTAAAAGGGTGAAATTTATGTTATGTGAATTGTATCTCAATTAAAAAGGAAAAACATATCCAAAGGTTTGCTACCCTTTTTCACTATCATGATGAATATCTAAGATACTTATTTTACTGCAAATACATCAAAATCTTACTATTTTTTATGTATACCTCATTTCAATGAATATTTCCTTAATAAGCCATATAACCTTCAACATCTTCTATCTATTTATTTACTAAATGTATTTTCAGGAGACTATTTTTTTTTACCACTCCTAGTTCTTGACTTTGTTCCCTCCAATAAGTGCCACCCTTACCTTCCCCTGACTCTAAAAACTACTCTTAACTGCCACTTCGTATGTAGCCAAGTGTCCAACAGAGTGGGAGTGAGGGAAGGGACAGGGTCATTTGTCTATGGTGCTGGCTCTGTGTTAGGGGCTTTGCATTCATTCACAATATCTTCACAGCCCTGTGAGGTGGCTGTTACTACTCCTTCTCCCATTTTACACAAGAGAGCCCTAGGTTGACTAGGGTCTGTAGTTTGCTCTGGGCTACAGAGCTAATGAGTGGTGGAGCTGTGATTAACAGCAACTCTGGGTTTACCATCCACCTGGAGAACATCATGGGAACAATGTTCCGTAAGTCTGGGTTAGAGGCGGAGATGCATGTCTGTCTCTTCTCAAATCCATGAGAATTTGGAAAGTGGCTGACCTTCAAAGATCAGGGAACATAACACATTTAAGTCCTATAAATAGATTAATAAAACCCTTGTCTCTAGTCAATTTAGTTCTCAACCAATGACAGAGAGATGATGACAGCTATAATTACAGTACTCAGTATTCTTACAGTTTGCTGTAACTTTCAAATAAAGACGCAAATTTATTGGATCCTTAAAACAACCCCCTGAGGTAGGAAGAATAATTGCTATCATTCCCATACCCAGACTCATTCCTTTGTTCACCAAACATTAATTAAGCCCTATGCAAATGGCACTTGGCTAAATACTTTCATACACACCATCCCCATTGAATCCTCACAGTAATGATAAGAGGGATAAAATCATCATTTTAAAGGAAGGGAAACTGAGGCACAGCAAGGTTAAATGACTGCTAAAGGGTCCCATGTGAAATTAGTAGCAGAAGCAAGGAGTCCAGAGCTCTGTTCTCTGGGCCCCAAAGCCCTGTTTCAGAGCTCTGTCCTTTCTAATACGTGGGACATCCTAAGCATGACCCCCATCATCCCTCACCATGGACAGTGGCTACTCAGTCAGATGTCACCTCCAGGATAGGCAGGAGTGGACAAACTTTTGTGGTAGCTCTGCTCCAACCCTTTCTGCCTTTATTTCAGTGTTACCTGTACCCTCTTCACAAGGGCTGTAAAGTCTGTGTATCTGAGCTATTATTTTCTTAGTTTTTTTTTCCTTTAAATAATTCATGTTCTTACTTAGCCACATGTATTGTAAAACACAGTTTTATATTACTGTCTAAAGGGAAAACCAGTAGCACTTGCCACAAAGGTGTAGCAGAAGCCCTCCCACCACCAGCCACTTCAGGGGCATTCCGCTAGCCGATGGTCTCCATGCCCTCTGCTCTGC